ATCTTCTAAAAATCAGAGGTTATACATCCATGGGGTTGTGCTACTAATCAGAGCCAAAGCCCATTAAATTTAGTATAATTTCTCTAAAGTGAACGTATTGATAAATCAAGAAAACAAGTCAAGAAAACAAAATTGTTTATCTGGGTTTGGGGAAGGAGTCTTTCTCAGTCCTGTTTCTTCCAAAATAACACTCCATATTCACAAATCAAAACCATCATTTTCATATCCTAATGGTTGATATATAAGATGCCCACTCTGGATTTCTCTGAGACTTGTAAGGTGGAGTAAAATAGACTTCAAAACCATAGTTGCACAGCAGCATTGAACAGAATCTACTAACATTTATCTCTGGTTGAAAAAAAAATTACATATGTACAGTTGTTGATGAAATATGCATCTGAAAAGAGTGAAAGCAGGATTGAGTGGGGGGGGGGGATGAACTAGGTTTTTTTTTACAAACCTGCATGGCAGAACATTACATTAAAGAGATTGTTATCAGGAAATGTCTTAAAATGAAGACATCTTGTTTACATTAAAGTTGTATTTATTAGGAGAGAGCCAGCTTGGTAGTTGTTAGGGCAGTAGGCTAGAAAATTAGATCTGGAATTATGGTCCCATTTTAGAGACAAAGCCATGTGGATGACCTTGGACCCATCACTCTCTCAATTTTAAGAAGGTCAAGGCTAACCACTTCTGAAATCTTGCCCAAAAAAAATTGCAGGGACTTGTCCAGACAATTGCCAAGAAGCAATACTGACTTTAAGGAAAAGAGAAAGAAAGAAAGGAAGGAAGGAAGGAAGGAAGGAAGGAAAGAGAGAGAGAGAGAAAGAAGGAAGGAAGGGAGAGAGAGGGGAGGAGAGAGAGAAAGAAAGAAAAAAAGAAAGAAAGGAAAGAGAGAGAAAGAGAGAGAGAGAGAAGGGAGGGACGGAGAGAGAGAGGTGGGGGGAGAGAGAGAGAAAGAACAAGCATAGAAAGATTTTATACATTAGGAAAAGTTGTGAATGACAGCAAATGCAGATTTGTCCCTTAATATCCATTGGAAAAGCAATAGACTAAGATAATGCATAGTGACATTCGTATGGGAGAGACCAGAATAAAAAAAAATGCAATGTGTGTATAATGATGCAAGACACACCCCTTTCGAATGGGGGTACAATATCAATGCCTGTACAAAATGGACGAAGTTGGCATTGCAACACTTTGTCCATCACTCTACTGATTTTGTCATCCTCTGATTCGGCTGAGAATGTCTTACTGGGCAATATAAAAGATACATTAGTTTTATCCTGATCTGAATAACTCTAACTGTAATTTATAGTAAATATTATGAAATCTTACCTGCCATGCCATTCTGTTATGAAATTGAAGGTTATGACTTGAGCATATTGGTTAGCATTTTCACCTTTCCTCAAATCATAAATGAATGTACAGTAGGAGAAAACCCTATGGATGAAGCTGCTTAATGTCTGTGACGAAGCGTCAAGGTTATCAGAATTTAAATCAATTAAACACCTGTGCCAAGGGAAGATACATGCTATTTATTTAATTGTCATTTAATTTATTCAGTTATTAGCTGGAGCTGGAGCAAAAAAAAAAAGCACTTTGGCTGGAACTAAAAATCAGGACAGCAAACCTACAGAAACAATTGTTCAGGAGCTAAATTTAAAATACTAAAATCCCAAAGAAAGATAATAAATCTTGCAGCTTAGGCAGAGTTTGAGTAAAGATGCTTCAAGTAACTTCAATAAACACCTCAGTCAGATCTATCTTTCTATCTGTCTGTCTATCTATCTATCTATCTATCTATCTATTCTTTCTTTCTTTCTTTCTCTTTCTTTTTCTCTTCTACTTTCCTATCTCGTTAGGTAACAATGTAAAATATGTTAAAATATGAATGTATATTTATTTAATAAAATGTAAAAAGCCAAGCATTGAGGGTTAAGAAAGATAACACATCAGAACAAGATCCATATGAAAGTAGAAGAAGAATCTGTATATATTTACTGTATTCTTAATTTTAATTTATATTTTCCTATTTTTTGTATTCTTTTTTTACTTCATTGTTAGAACTGAGTACATATTTGTGAAGAAAAGCAGGATTTGCACTGAATAAAATAGAAAAAGCATGCAGTCTTAACTCTCAGTTCAAACTAGCATTAGGGCAATGTAACATTTCATTGCCAGATAAATGTAACCATGATTTATAAAATAAACCATAATTTGCTAGGTTTCTACAACACACAAAGGCATACTTCAATTTATAAACTGCAGTGGCTAGATTTACATAGCAAATTATTAAAACTAAAAAAAACCACATCATGGTAACATACTAAGCCAGTGTTTTTAGGTTTTTAATTACAGCTCACAAACTGACATTTAGGCTATAATCATATGATATACTAAGCCACCAAATTCACTTAATGAGCCCAGACTGCTATCCTAAGCCACCTCCATCCACTATCAATCTTACATAGCTCTTTGATCACAGAGTCATACTTACTATGTCTCTTTAATTGGAATTACAGCTCTTTGAGGTTTATGGAATTTGAAATGGAGACATTCAAGAAATTTCCATATCACTTCCCGTAAATGGCAAATGGTGGCTGCATGGCATGATAACCTTCATATTTTTATGAAACAAGTCTTTTTGGTTGACGATATTTAGATACACAGCCTTTGATGGAGATCCATAGATTGACTGAAGTGTTGTGATTGTAGTTTGGGTTTAAATACCCGACAGAAATCTAGAACATTGTGCAGAGACCCAGGCTCAACTAAAATGAGCCTACAGGTAGCCCTCACTTACTAATTGATAGTTGGGACCAGGAAGTCTGTCACTAAATGATGTAGTTTTAAGGTATGATGTCAGATGACTGCACCAATGTACAACAGCAGTTCCAGCAGTCCCATTTGTTGTGGTTAGGCAACTGTTCTGACTTAGGCTTCCCCAAAAAGCATGAGGCAGAGTCTCATTCACATTCAGCAAGGCCTAGCAAACAGTCTTTCAAAGGAATATTTATGACTACAGACCTTATCTATCTTGGAAAGCTGCCATGTAAATATTGATCTTCAGACTCCTGAAATAAATCTAATGACCAAACGAATGAATTGTTTCCTGCAAAAGCCCACTCCCCTTTCACTCCTCTTTTATTTTCCTATGGGAGGGGCCAATCACCTTCCACCTGTGACTTTACTTCCAAGTCTGCCCTGATTTCTGAGTTGTTCTTTTCTTCTGGTAGCTCTGCACATGCGCACACTGAGAACAGGTCTAGCTGTTTCTCTGCCTCACTGCTGTCCAGCTCTGTAGGCACCTGATCACTGCCAGACAGTCTTGGCCCCATCTCTGCCTCCGATGCAGAGCCCTTGTCCGAACCTTCCCCAACCTCCAGGACTGGCCCAGGCTCTTCCCCAACCTCCTCACTGTTCGACTTTGCTGCCAGCTCTGCTGGCGGCCACAACAGCAATTCTCATATGGGTGCAGCACCCAATAGTCACATAATTGTCATTTTCCCATTCATTTTGCTTGTTGGAAGTTGGCAATGGAGGTTGTAATTGGTGATCACACGACAGTGGGGCACTACCATGTTGTAATTGCAAGCTGGTTGCCTAGCACCCAAATCACAATCACAAGACCAAGGGACACTACGATGGCCACAACTACGAGGACCAATTGTAAGTAGTCCTTTAATTTTGAATGTTAAAGTTCTGGCAAGAATGGCTGAGGAATTTGAAAGTTGCCAAGGTTGAGAATCTTCTATCTAGATTTGCATATTGCATTGAGCTTGTGAATCCAGCCAATGGGGTTTATAAATCATAGTCTTTGATTAGTCAACCAACCATAGTTTCTTCTGTTATGCAAATCCATTGTAACAGTGATTTTCTGTTCTGAAAGAAAGCATCTCCCCAGCATTTCAGACAGAGCGTTTCCTTCTTAGAAGGAAGGTTACCTTCAGACTGAAAACATCCAGCACTGGATTCAGGATATTTGACATACTGTATAAACACTACTTTTTCACATCAAGGTATTGAGGCCATGTTCACATGATACAGTTGGCTATAAATCTCAGCTAGAGAACATGTGCCATTTTTGCATGCAGAAATCTAACACGCCAGGTTTGCTGTTTCATTGAATGTGTTGAAACTCTAATGACCTCTATCTTGGATTCTTAGAAACAATTCAGTTTCTTTTCCTTGGATTTTTGTTGCAACTCACAAAACCCGAGGGGGTCCCTCATAGGCATTTAATAAACAAAGCATTTAAAATAAATTTGCTTAGAGAATTGTAGAAGTTGCTTGGTTACTGTTGTTTTTCCCAAAAGGGCACATTTATCTTTACATTCAGTAGGCACTACTGCTGGTTCGCTCATGGGTGCAAGGACGATGAAGCATGCTGCGCCACATGCATACTGCAATAAAAATTGTTCTGTGCATGCGCAGAAGCAAAAAAAAGATTGTGGTGCCTACAACTCTGCCCAGAGAACCGGTTTGGTGTGTGTGGCAGGCCTGGGTCACTGCCGGTTCCAGTGATCCAGGCCAAACAGGTCCAAAC